ACTGGAACAGTACATAATATTAGTTTACCTGTTTGCTTTTGTGACTTCTCAGCAGTGGCAATAAAAGATGCCTCTGCTTCATTGTGGAAAATGTGCTTGTGCCAACAAAACTGATACACACATGTACATTACATAATGCATGCCAAAAATACTGCTCTTCAATGGTACATCATTTATTATAATAGCCACATTGTTTAGATTTTTGCCTCTTTATTTATTTTCTCAGAAAGATCAGATCATGATCACGATGGTGAAACAAAACTGTGTATCACTAAACTTTGCGACAAAGAGTAGCTGGCACAAATGTTCGAAGTAACCGGCGACTTGCGTCAGGTGCTGTCCTATTTTGAAAACTCTGAATTATGATTTTCTCACAAAAGAAAGCTACAAATAGCTCCTGTGTTAGCCAATTTCTTCATGGGCCACTATGAAAAGCTCTGGTCAAAAAATTACACTGGTCTTAAGGTACTATACTATTGCAGATATGTAGATGATATTATCTGTTGTTTCAACAACTCTAATGATGTCCGTTTGTTTTTTGAGTACCTTAATTCTTGCCATCCCAACATTAAGTTCACTATGGAAGCAGAAGAAAAGGGTCAGTTGCCATTTTTAGATGTATTGTTATCTAAGCAAAGTGCCAGTGATCACCGGGTTCTTTTATCACATCTGTTTATCATAAGAAGACTTACACTGGTCTACTTCCTAATTATTTCAGTTTTAACCCTTTTAAATACAAATTAGGGTTAATTAAAACTCTCATAGATAGAGCCTACAAAATAAATAACACTACTCAGAGATTTCAGTGACATCAAAAACCTTTCTGAAATTTTGAAACACAATAATTATGTTTCCGAAGTGGCTTATTGACAAAATTAATCAGTTAAAGGTTATCTTAGTAAGGATAGAACAACAGGACAGGACGCGTCCAAATGGGAAACATCCAACTGCCACTTCTATAAGTTACCTTATATCGGTTATCATTTCTTCCTACACTGGAAGAAAAATTTCATCTATTATAAATAAGTATTGCAAAGACTTAAATGTAAATTATTTTCTCTCTGTTCAAACTTAGCACTATGTTTAGTCCTGATGATTTTGTTCCTGATTCTCTTAAATCACGCAGAGTTCTCTGTAAGCTCAGGCGACCGGCAAAATTCGCCATCTAGTCGTCCTTAGCACACCGGCTACCGGTACTTATAGTAAATAAATTATGAAAAAATTTTATTTGTAACAATGTGAGCCTATCCGTCAATAAAATTAAGCATAAAAACAATATGTCTAATTTTCTCAACAAATACGTAGCGATTAAAAAATACAACTTCTAAAGCTGTAAGATAAAAGAAATCTGAAATCATTCGGGCCATGAGAATTGCCACCAAAAACATGATGTGGGTACTGAGCCGGGACAGCAGCACTGAAATATTTGACAACTGAGGTTAAGTTAAAGCTCGGTTTTTCCTCTGAAAATGAAGCGAAAAACCCAGCAATCGCTGTTCAGTACCAGGGATAAATTGAAAAGAAAATAAAGATGGCACAAACGAAGGTCATAAGTTGTTTTCTTTCAAAAATATAATTAAACTTAGTACTTTTATCTCCAGTGAATGTACACGTAATTTAATTACTTCTTTAAACACAACGACATGAAACCCAGTGCTTGGCTCGCACATGGAGGATTTTCAAGAACAAATAACTGCAAAAATTTCTTTCAACAAAAGAAACAAACTTTGCAAGATCTTACACAATCTTTAAACTTACAAGCTGTGAGATGTTTGTGTAAATATTGAAAGTGAGATATAAAACTGGCAAGCTTATTGAGCAGGGAAGTATGAATAAACACATGCACTATTTCAAGGCTTCATTATAAAGCGAAACATTTGCGAAATATGTCAAGTTTAAGTTTGATGGTATTAATTTTATCACTTTTGAAATCATAAATGAAAAAACCCAGACTACCGCAATGGTTCAAAACGTTGATGATGGTCCGCACGCTTAATCAGAAAAAATTCTGAGCTTAAATCCATGGGAAACTTCACCAAGTACTACAGGCTTGCGCTCGCAATCACAAGCTTCATCATGTTCTATGAATTCCACCCCTAGCACTGTGTTAAAGCCATTCAAAACTTGTCTTTTAACAAAATAAATGTCAAACCTCAATCTAGTACCTTCAATGCCAGCGTTTCTCGTTTGGCTTTCTCATCACCAAATGAGAACATTTTTGACGTTTTTGATATTTTTTTTCAAATTTGATACGGATGACGATGATTAACCTGTTCAACTAACACAATATATTACACGTATGTTTTTCTCGGTGAAATTGCTTTTCTTTAACAAAAGAACAAAACCATGCTTGCTTAAAATACACTGAAATGCACTTTTCAGAACCCCAACTTCAAAATTTTCTCGGGAAGGCTCCCGGACCCCCCAGTAAAAGGTTGTGGTCGTCCCCCTCCCCCCTACTCTACGTGGCTACGATAAAACCACTCCACGTCTCTTTATCAGTTATTCCCCTCTACTTCAAATTTTTGGGAGAACCCTGTCAGGTGTTGTTTATCAGTTTACATGTGCGAGCTGTGGAGCTCGTTATATTGGTGAAACCAATAGGCATTTTAACACACACGTTAATGAGCATCTCTTTCAGGACAAAAATTCCCATATTTTTAAACATTTCAGTGCTTCTAAAGGTTGTAGGGATAAGTGTGATATTTCTTGTTTTAAGGTTCTTGATCATGCCAGCACTTATTCTCAACTTAAAATAAAAGAGAGTTTTTCATATTGAACAGTTGAAACCTGAACTCAACAAACAAGTTGAGCATGTTAATCTGTCGTCACATTTCTAAATTTATCCCCTGTTGTTTACAGGGAGTTTTAGGTTATTTTTTTCTTGTTTGTGTTTCATTCTGTTGGTTAGTTTAAATAAGGTTAACAGTTAATGCATATTTTAATTCATAAAGGTTCATTGTATGAGTAGTTATATATACCAATCATTTTGTAAATCTTTTCTATACATTCATAATGACTGATGATGACATTTGAAATATCGAAACATGTTTCGAAAACTGAAAAGCGTTGTTGTGTTTTTAAAGATAATTGTTGCATTTGTGCTATCAAGACTGTTTGGAAAAATAATTATCTGTTTTCTAAAAGTTCCAAATGCATGACAAGTGGTCAGAATCCAGGTAACTCATAATAAAATTTAAGAAATTTGTCTTTAACTCCTTTAGAGGACAAGTTTTAGTGTTGTTTTGGTCCTCAATACAAATTTTAAGTTGTCTCAGATGACCATGACTGCAAACAGTTGCAGCAGCTGTAATAGCTGTAGTAGCTGTAGTATCTGTAGTACGTGTATAGTACATGTAGCTCTAGTAGCTGTAGTGCCTGTAGTACGTGTAGTAGATGTAGTAGCTGTAGTATCTGTTGTACGTGTAATTGCTGTAGTAGCTGTAGTGCCTGTAGTATGTGTAGTAGCTGTAGTAGATGTAGTAGCTGTTGTATGTGTAATTGCTGTAGTAGCTATAGTACATGTAGTGGACGTAGTTGTTGTAGTGGCTGTGGTATGTGGAAAATTGAGCTTTTTTTTCTCTGTCGCATTGCAGATCACGCCTGGGAAACCACATGCCCTAATCAAGTTCCATTTGGTGGAAAATTTTTACCGACTTTGTAAAAATTTTCACCGACTTTTCCATGCAATGGCAAACGTTCCTTCAATTGTTATCGCTCTCCCCGCAAAATATATACATGCAAGTATACAAGGGTATACAGAGGTATACAAGGGTTTATCCATTGTTTAAACGTAGGCGACTATACGTGTGTAAACTACAGCTACTACAGCTCATACTGAAAAAATCGTGCTTCGTTAGCGTCGAATAACGCTACAGTGTCTGTAAGCCCAAAAATGTTGCAATTAGATCTTTAAAGTGAAATGTTCTCTGCCAAATATTGTTTCAGTGGACCTATTAATTGAATTTAGTGAAGTGGTGAGGTTCCTTAAAGAAAAAGTTTGCATTTAGTGACCATAGTTTCACACGCCTTGCAGCCTCAAGATGACATGATTCGATGTCCCCTGGACAGAAATATTGTACAAAATAAGCCACTGCCTGATGCAAGTCACCAGCTAATTTAAGCATTTGTGCCAGGTACTCTTTGTATTCCAATTTCATTTCAGCAACATACCAGTAATCATGATCTGATCTTGTCAAGGAAATAACTGAACAGGGGAAAAATATTAAACCATGTGCTATTGAATGTATACCGCTCGAACTTCAAAGAAAAAGCAATTTTTGGTGGGCATTCTGCTGTCATTTAACCATACAGTATGAACATGTATCAGAACTGTCAGCACGTGCACATTTTCTATGATGGAGGCAACAGACAGCAGATGGAATTCAAGACAGATGCAAACTTGAATGATATCAAAGATATCACCAGAATTCATCTCAATCCTTTCACCACATCATTGTTTCCCTTATTCATCAGCAGCTTTTGTTGATTACAAAACCTAAATGATCTTGATCAACACATCAAATTGAAACTGTTTCTCTTGAACTTGCATGATTGAGATAATACTGATAACATAACAGTTGATTCATGCTAATTACAGTTCAATTAAATGGAGTTACAAGCCAAACATGATACTGCTATGTACAAAGTACCAATGGAATGAAAAGCATTATGCAGCATTTCATTCATGAACTTCCAGAGAAACTCATCTTGCAACTGCTTAAATAAAGTGTACAGTGACCTCTAACAAAATCACTTAATTGGGTGAATGTATTTTGTGGCACACATGTGTGCACATGGCCAGCACCCCATCTCCCCCATGCAGGAAGGGGAAACCCCACTCCGGCACTCCCCCCATGAGGTCAGCACCATTTAGACAGAACAATGTTACGCCTACATTACAATTTCCTCCTGCTACTTTATTTCACTTTGGAAATGCTGGCTATAAAGTATATTTTTAAGCAATAAAAACAACCTAATATTAACTGATAAAAGATTACCCTGCTTCTTGGAGGTAACTGATTAACATCTTTGTCTTGTAATGGCTTCTTCATTTCTGCACCTATAGGTTCTTTCCTAAAATTACCAAAAACCATTACTGTGAATCCTCGAATTAGCGCCCCCTCCTCTCACCCTGTTTTATAGATGAGTACTAAGACAACAAAGGATGTAAAGTTTTAGTCATGTTTAGTTACAAGCAAGTGATTATCGACTCATTCAAGCACTACAGATGGTAGAGAAGATCTGCTGATTCATTGTTTGAAGCCTGACCAGCCTTATGCAGCAGGTCTAGACTGGCTAAAGGGGTTATATTTCGTAGTTCCTGAAGAGAGCCAGAACCCTTCTGAGACTTCAGAGGGACTGACACATGCATACTATATTACAAAAAAACCAATCATATCTGACCACAATTTGGGAAAAATTAAATAAGCAACCCCCCTCCCCAACCCTCAATCAAGCACTTTCCTCAAATAAGCACCCCCGTCTTCTCCTAAATTTGAAATGAGTGTCTCGGGCACTAATTGGAGGATTTACGGTACCTAGTTTATGGAAATACAGAACACTGTCTACTTAAGTGCAGTTATCAATCAGAGGGCTACAATCTTGGATAATAAGTACATCTCAGAGTCTTTGTTTCTCTTGACCAGAAGTCAGGACATTTCGGAGCCTGGAATTGGAAGTCTGAAAAATATCCTGGACTAAAACAATCGCATAGCACATACCCACCAGCCCATTGATTCAATCAACATTAATCCTTTTCCACTTGATAGTTCAGAAAGATATTTTTTTGATATTTTTTGGTCAAAATAAAGCATAAAACTTAATTTGAAAGATCCTATGACCAGTGTAAATGACAATATGTAAATGTAAACATAAATGTAAATTATACACATACCTCTCAAGAGATTGATTATCTTGAGAACCTGATGATTGAGGATCATCTTTCACCATCTCCTTCTAACCAAGCAAAACAACTAATTAAACCACTTCTTGTATAAAACCAACAAGAAACGGTATGACAAACTTTGGCTGAGTAGCAATTATCTAGTGCTTAATTTTGGGGGTTAGTTTAAAGTGAGTGGGTGGGTGGGGGTGCCCAGTTGTACTGAAACAACCAAGCTAACCAGTTGTCAGGTCCGTTTGCTCACCAGTTTTTGCTATCCAGTTATTTGCTAAGGTTTTTACTCACTGTTTGCAACAATGTACGTCAATAGGGCTGTCATTAAGTTTTAGTTTACCTGTAGCCTTGATCTTCACACCCGTAGCAAACTTGTTACTTTATGGGTGAATTGTATCAACTACAGGCCAGTTCACCTGTAACATCAAGGGTCCATCAAATATACTCAGCCGTAGCAGGTGGTTAGCACCCTTATTGACAGCCCTCAATCAATTACGCAGGAAGTCAAGAAGCAAGTTTTTAGTTGGTTTGCAAGTTTTGTTTGCATTACTTTTACTGTTTGTTTTAAACACTTGTAAGGTCGTGTGCCAACATAATTTCTTTGTATTTTTGATCAAATTGAATCGTTAATTAAATACGGTTCTTCCTTCAGGTTGGCACCTTTGGTCTCTTGTTCAACAGAACACCAGTGACAAAGTAACTAGGCGTCAATGAAAAATTCATCATGCTTAGGAAACAAAATGGGGATTAGAAAGCTCTCTTTGTATGAACTGAGCAATCAAGAAAACATTTTTAACAATGATCAGAGCAAATGCAACAGTCAAGTACTGAGGGGGAATTCTGAGAGTTAAAATCAATATAAGTTCAATAATTACTAAAATTCAGATGTTGGTTATCAATTTATACACCATAAACAGGATATTCACTTAAATCTGACAAAGATACATCTACAGTACAACTCAAAAATACGCAAGCCATCAAACCCATGTTAAACTTGGAGCAAACTCATTTCGTTTAGAACTAAACGCACTTTAACATGTTTGCATTTGTGTTGGTAGTCAAACGCAAATGCACCAAAATGCGTTGATGATGCTCATTAAGGTGATTCCTCAGAATTGCATCGCGCATCCCTACTGCGCACAATTTTGATGTCATTAGCGTGCATATACAAAATGGAGGCTTTTTCTAAACGGCTTGGCTTGCAAGAGACAAATCATTGTTTTTCCCTCAGAAATGAGTACCGGGACCTGATGAGTTTTTTTATTTAGTTTCAATTCAGAGATCACCTTCTTTCTATACAGTGGGTATGGACCAATTTGTATTGCAGAGTAAAAAATTTATCACGGAAAATGAGAGCATAGCTAGCACTCGTAAAAGACAATATGTGGCCCCAGAACACTGCGTGTTTGGAACATTTTGTATCCCTGTCAACTAATTATGAGTGCCTTTATAATGAAACGTACATCAAATTGCTCCTTAACATCGATGTATATCCACTGTTGTATTTCTTGCTTAACTTCCTCCTTATTTTTCTGCTCTCTTAAAGCGTAAGGTGAATGGATCAAATATAAACGTTTCTGACGGCTCTTAATTTCAGGAATTGTGGGGTTTATTGAAGGTCCTCCTGCTCCTAAACGAATACGGGGACCCCCTTTTTTATTTCAAATTTTAAGTTCTCTTGATATGTAAGCAGCCAACAGGTAAAGTTTGAAAGAAAATCTATTGTGAGTTCTACTTCGATGGAATTACCTTAGCAGATCACACATCAAGGTCAGTTTGCATAACAAAAGACATACATAAAGGAGGCTTTATTGAGATGTTCACCTTTGTAATTCAATGGAGTGTGTGGTTAATCTTTGTCCGAACTCAGAAACAAGTGTTATCCAAGGAACAGTTTTACATGATGAAAACTTGGATCATGTGTACTTAAGGCACCTGTCGGCAGAGTATCAGTTGATACTATCGGCCGATGTGTTGACTGACACTTGACCGACATATCAGCTGATACTTGGTGGACAGTATCAGTCAACACTTGGTTAGTATGTCGGTCGCCACTCAGCCAACACCTCGACTGATATGTTGCTATCAACAGTCGGTGGTCTATTGGTCAACTGCCGGTGGTGTACGAGTCAATATGTCGGTAGTGTCGGTGTATTGTTAACCTTGTTTTGCTGAAGTAGCAGCTGTCTTGTTACCCACAGGGAACTTGAAAGAATAGTTTCTATCGCCTCTGCTCATCTGTTGACAGAGCGTGGATAAAGTTCAAACTTCTGCCATTTTGAAAACAGTCTTTGACATAGAAGAATGTTGCCAGCACTGAAAAGTCAAAAACGAATGACAGCCACCAAATGACCCTTTGAAAGGGCTAAAGAAGATTATTTTACATTTGGAATATCCAATGCTAGAACACAGTAACAAGAGCCAATCAAATGAGCATAGTGTTCCTAAGTGTCTGTAAAGTATCAGCCGAGTGTTGGACGATGTCAGTCAGTCAACATGTTGGCCAAGTGTTGGTTGACATAACGGCTGATAGTATTGACCAATACTCGGCCGACAGATGCCTTAAGTACACATGATGCGAAAACTTGAACTCTGTAAACCAAACTTTGGAGCATGTTTACTTAAATCCATCTTGTGTTAACATGTAGCATGGCCCATGAATGGGCAGAGACAGTAGGCAGTAAGTTCGAAACTCAACGGCGACGACGACAACGACGACGGAGTCGCACAACATGGCCGCCATACCCCAAATAATAGGTTGACAGAGACATGCAGCCTTGGTTTTCATCTATGTTATGATCAACTGACACCTGTCAAAACAAGGTATCCGCTGACTAGTATCACATGACCATATCGCAGGCTCAGGTTTACAGCTCATCAAGGTTATGCGTTTTTTAAAAGTTGACCGCTGACCAAGTGCTGGTTTTCGATTCGAGCACAGACTCATCTCAGGTTAACTTGTTGAAAACAGGGCAGGATTGTTCGGAAGCCAGTTAACGCTAGCCCAGGATTAAAAGTTAACCGAATTATAACTTTTTCTTCTACCCAAATGTTTTTTGCTGCTTTGTTTTGTGTACATAGTGATTATTAAAACTCAAAACAGAAGGCCAAACAATATACAGAAAACCTCAACGCAAAGTCACAAAACTCAAATCAAAATTCTATCTTTTCCTGGGTTAGCTTAATTTGGCTCTGAACAACCCGGCCCAGGAGCTACGCTGTTAGGCTGGCCTAAATCTATATACTAATTTTTTGTTCCAATGTTTTGTCTATTAGCTGCTTAGGCTGGGAAACGCTATCCTGAATATTGGGTGCATGCTCACAAACACAGCTAAACACTGAGTTCTCGAAAAGTTTTGATATATTCTTATTGAAACATTAAGTCTATGAAAATCGTAGTACTCAGAGCCCTGCAACAAAATAAGAGTTGTTGTAGTGGGTTGCCAAAAAGACCACAAGGTGAGTCAATTGCCACCTTAAAGTGTGTGTTTCTTTTCATCAGGAAGTTCATGAAAGCATTTCAAATTCATAGTTCTGACTATAAAGTGTGACAAATATCTGAGCACATTTTTGTGTCAAATGGAGGCTTTAGTTTATTTATTTTTATAATCAATCAAAAGAGATCATGAAGACAGTTGCAAACCTGCAATGCGTCCACCATGTTCGACATTTCAGGGGAACTTAATTTATTTGTGAACTTGATTTGGTCCCATTGATAGTTCTAGCTTTTAAAATGTTCGTTTTGGTGCTTAGAGTTTTGTTGAAACCCTTACAAAGGAGGGCCACATATGCCTCAATCAGTAAGGACATGTTACTTTTAAACTTCATAGCAAAATAACTAGCCTACTTGACCTACTTTCGAAAAAAGCTGTTTTCATTTTCAAGTGTAACAAGGTGTGGGAAAATACCCTGCTATTTATAAAATAAACCACTTGTATCACGTCCCCGGGGATTGTCATAACAGGTGCATAGTGGGGCATGGTTCACAAACCTAGTAAAAGAACAAAACTTAGAACATGTACATATACATTCCATCTGATTCGCGTATTTACTCAGGGGTTAGGTCGGATCTCTGTTGCTTATCTCTCAAAGGCTGCCAAAATCATCAAAGCTAACAACTTCTACGAAGATAGGTAGGCTTAAGCTTAATTGATAAGTTTCTTAAGCGAAAAAGAGTGCAGATTAACTTCAGTTCTTTGATTTTCCAAAAGCTGAAAATTAAACTTACTTACAATCTTTTGTCTAGCCTTTGCTTCTGTGGCTCATTTAGCTTATTGTAGGCAATTTCTTCACCAATCGGGAACTTTCCTAAAGAAAATGATTTGCCGCCCTTTTTCGTCTGACTTAATCTTGCGGTTGCCACCTACCTGTGCTTTGACTTCAGACGAAGAACAAGCCATGTTCTTGACAGGCTCAAAGCCACTTACTTTAGTAAAACAATTACCATCCATCCATCTGTATCGGGATAGAGCCCAATCATAATAGAAAAAACCAACATCGTAACCGCTTTTACTTTCCTTGTTTTCTGCCATTTTGAATTCGGAGGCCAATGAAGACGATGCCCAAATATGGAGCCAAATACACACCAATCAGAAAGGGACTCCCTGCGCCGACTCTATGAAGTACAAAGAACTAACACAGAATAAGGCTACTAAAATGGTTGATAATCTTCGCATGGATACAGTGGAACTTCTTAACCAGGTTTGTTGATTCTGTCTCGGGTAAAGAATACTAGAAATCATTCTCTTATATTCGCATAGGGGGTTTAATTCGAAAGAAGTCTTAAACCTACCCAAGTTGCCGAAATCACGAGTGCACACCACACAAATAGCAAAGTGCGTACAGTGTAGCTAGAGCTCTGCCATGTAGTAGCAGCGGGATTTCCTTGGTTTAAGTAATAGTCAGTGAAGGTTTTTTTGTGAGACATTGCAGATTTTTGACATCGCCCAGAACACCTGAGTAATGGCTGAGAGAGCTCCACTTCATCGGGATAATTGTTTGTTGTTAATATTATAGTAAACTAGCTTACATATGTGAGCGGAAGTTTGGACTTTGTAAGTGTGACTTTCTACCCAACGGCATCGGGAGATTGGCTTGTAAGCTTAACACTTCAATATTTGTTTGCCTTAAGTTTTAACTATGGCTAAACTACAGAATACAGGGCCGCTTTTAAGCATCCACCAAGCTCGTTTGGCTCGTTTGCTCCTTTGCACGTAAAACACTGCCAAGCCAAAGCGCTTAACACATGGACCAAAGACTTATTAAAGTGCCTATGAAGTAAAAAAAATAATAATTGAAGCTAATTTGAAAGGCTTTTAAAATCACGAAGAACGGCGTTTTCCATTTTGGAATAGCTTTTTTCGTTTTTGAAGTATTTACGTTTTTGTATTATGCTCCGTTGATAAGATGTTTATTGTATGGCAAACAAGAAAAATTTGATTCGTTTAATGCAACTGGTTTGTACTATTAAGGTGGCTCCATAGGGTAATCATTTATGGCGTTGCGTGCGCAAGTGTTATGTTTTGAACGCTGTTTTTGCATTCGCTTTCACACCTAGTCCTCTCAAACTTATTGCATGTAACAAGCAATGATTAAATAGTGTCTTGCTATCATCTCTGTTAAAATTTTGGGATTTAGTCTTAAATAACAAGAAGATCTTTTAGATCTTATAACCGCGCTTTTAAAATTTAACTGTTTGCTTAGCACTACCGTCGGAATGTAGTGCACATTTCAAAGCAGTCANGAATCCACAGGAAGTGGAGAGGATTAAAAAAGGGTATGTGCAAGGTTTTCCGTGACCACGACTTAAAGATCACAGTCGAAGCAAATACCAACAAGATCAATTTCCTAGACGTCACGCTTGACCTCCAAAGTGGAAAGCACTATCCTTACACAATTTTTAACCGTTACACACTCAAATTAAGCTACAGCTGCATGGGTAACATCAAAACAATCATATCTAACCATAACAAAGCTGAAATTGACAAAGCGACACGTACTAATGACCAAGCGAAAAATTACAACTGCCGGAAATCTACCACGTGTCCCATGGATGGACATTGTAGCATGGAAAGCGTAATCTACCAGGCCGAAGTCATCACACCAACCACGAAAGAGACATACATTGGATTCTGTGACACTACATTCAAATTAAGATATCGTAATCATGTATGTTCTTTCCGAAATGAGCGGTACAAACACGCTACTGAACTAAGTAAATACATATGGAGCCTGAAAGATCAGAACACTAAGTACGACATCAAGTGGCGCATAGTTAAACAGGCTAGGTCTTATTCGAATGTTACCAAGAGATGTAATTTGTGTTTGTGGGAGAAATTTTTCATCTTATGTAAACCGGAAATGTCAACTCTGAACAGCAGAAATGAGCTTACATCGTGTTGCAGACATGCTAGGAAATTCTTGCTGAAAAATGTTATCATATAATTAGCGATTAAGATCCCGCGTGACGCGACGCGTGACACGCAACACAGCTAGTATGTAATTGTCTTGTTCCGTATTTTCAAATATCTTTGATTGTAACCGTTTTTTCCGGCAGCCGCCTGATGATTGCCTCGCATGAGGCATGAAACTCTGAGTAGCGATTAAATGACCATATAACCTAGCTCTTGAGTTTTTACTGTTATTCCCGCTCTAGTTCAGCTATTGAGCACTTTGTANCAACACATCTAGTATGTAATTGTATTGTTCTGTATTTTCAAATATCTTTGAATGTACCCGTTTTTTCTGGCAGTCGCCTGATGATAGCCTCGCATGAGGCATGAAACTCGGAGTAGCGATTAAATGACCATATAACCTAGCTCTTGAGTTTTTACTGTTATATGTATATATATGTATATATGTATATATGTGTATATGTGTATATGTGTATATATGTATATATGTATATATGTATATATGTATATATGTATATATCGTTACACATGTTGCTAAAAATGTAATAGGTTTCAATAATTGATACAAAATACAAGGTGTACTAGACTAACCAAGAAGCAGAAAAAGAAAAAGGAAAAAAAATTTAAACACACAAGTGTTTTATTACCTAACATTGTTTGTCACATTCTTTTTGACTCGATCCTGATAGGAAATCAAGCAATTTCAGTTTCTAATGGACACAAACCTTGTACCAGAATAACTTTAAGTATATTACAGTCCATTTGCACGCGCAAGCCTTTAAATGCAAAAATGACCGTACCTGCTAAACTGAATTACGAGCCTTTGTGTTACTGTGGACATCCAAACTGACTGGACATTATCAATCAGGAGTTAATGGGCTAACAAAGTGTGTGAGGCTTTTTCAATATTTCTATTGTTTGCTTAGAAAATCCCTTTTAAAGTTGGACTAAAGAAAATTTTCTGACTGCTGTTACTCAATGAGACATCACAGGAAAAATATTTCAATTTTTGCAAAAGCCTCACACACTTTGGAGCGCTAATATCTGACAAAGATTTTTGCCAAGTTTCGTTAAAATCCAATAAATCTACATACCCTATTAATTCATTTGAATAGAGTTAATTCAAGCAAAAATAAACCTTGAGTTTTCGGCCTCGAAAGAAATTCACAGTTTTCGCACCTCACTGAAGCAGTTGTCAACGTGGTGATTACGCCAACCAATGAAACGCAGCTTTGAACTCCCCAGCGGGCTACAGTAGCACTTCCCGGGAATGAATGTGCAATGTTTACATTTGCAGTATATCTTTATAGAATTTATATTTTGCATCGGGAGTAGCAAAGTCTGCTGTGAAACATTCAGCAGGTTATAAACCGAATCAGCAGATAAATGGTAAAGAAGGAAAAATGGAAAAAGAGGAATGATAGTGGAATAGCCTTGAACAGGCCTACTTGGCAAGCTGAGTTGAGTGCAGATGTTAAACACATTTTTTTTAAAAAAACTAAACGCGTAATTCATCAGCCTGTTTGTTTTACTAGAATATGAAAAAACACACTTCAAAGCAGAGGAAAGGAGCATTTGGAGAAGCTGCCTTGTCAGATATCAGCGATTAAATTCTCCGATAATTCCACGGTAATTGACTTCTGTGCCAGAACAAGCTAGAGCAGGGCATCGACGAAACATTCGCTTGTGATTGGCGCTTGCATTCAAATGTGCGAACGCGAAGACCGTGCAAAATCACGTAGACGAAAACGATCAACAAAAGCAAAGATTTCTGTGGAGAAATTGCAAGATGTAAGGGGTAAACAAAAGAAGCAAAATACGACTCTGGATGAGATCAGTTGCCGCGAAAATTGTTTCTGCTCAACTCAAGGGTTGAGACTTTTTAATTGGCTTATCACAGTTTGAGGTTTATTGACTCATTTTAAACATTTATGTTTGTGTGGATGACTTGTTCACGTTTTAAGTTTTTAAAATATTTTTTGGGAAAATTCAGATGAAGTAGAAGTCTTGAATTTGGTGTAAAAAAATAAATTTGGACAAAATAGGCCCTTGAAGGTCTACAGTAACCTTAAAAGAGTTGCACAGAAGTTTCCAATGCAATGTAAATAATCTCAGTAAAAAGTTTTAGTCCACTTGTTACTCGAACTTTTGGTGGATTCCATAACACCCAAGCTAGTCTATAACTATAACTGAACTGAACAACTTTAATCTGCATTTAATAATGGCGACAAGATAACACTGAAACATCAAGTTATAGCATTTATTTTTCTTTTAAAATGATTTCTTTGTAACCAAGTATCTTTTGGGATTTGAGGGACAAAAGAAACTTTAAAATTTTGTCCTGAAATCCTGAGCTGGAGACATGTTAGAATATTGATATATCGAGCGTGGCCTATTACCTCCCCGTTTTGTTGAACACATCCATTTACACGAACAGGAAACATTTTTTGACCAAAAGATTAAGTGTACAGAGCACGTTCTTAGTAAATGATTCTTCATAATATGTCCTTGAATCTCCTAAACCCTAATAAATTTGAGACTTGTCATATTGCCAAATGGCGATCGACATAAACAATGGCTTAACTCTCCAGAAACACTTTCTTGCTGTTCATGCATACTCACATGCCAGTTCAGAATCGTAACAACGAACTAAAGTACTGATAGGTACTTTCACACCATATCAAATTGGGGAAAAAGCACAATGTTTGCCAAAAACCAGCACCTTCTTGAATAATCCAATATGGCGGACAGAGCTTCAAAGAGCGTGGTAAATGTATGCATGCACAAATGTGACACCAAAACGGAGAAATGGAGCCTATTTTATAACTCATGTGCCATACTGTGCATGAGTGAAAAGGTGAATGAAACACAAGTATCAAAAACTGTGTTCAGCCACCTTAATCCAGTAGGTTCTAACATGCAGATTTTACTGTACCCTAATTGCTGACAAGTTATTTCTCCCACAGGTAGCCCAAGCTCGCAAATGAGTGTCCCTCGTACATACATTAATTAGCTCTTCAGGTTATGCAACAGTTGAAATACAAGGGTTTGTATGGGAAAAAAGGTTTCATTTTTAAGCCTAAAAAATTCAAAGGAGTATGAATAAAAATAAACCTACCTTGCTTTAAGTGTGTTTCCTTGGTTCCCGTGAGGTTTCTGGGCCAATTTATGGTCATTTGGGTGGTTTTTGGCTTCACTGCTTAGTCATATAATTATATTCTTTCCCTGCTTTTATTATTTCATGTTATGTTGGTATTTTTTCAGCTTAAGAATTATATTTTGACTGTTGCATAACCTGAGAACTAATTTGTATGTACAACGGGTGCTCATTTGCGAGCTTATATCTGAGCTGCACTGTACAAATAAACATAATTTATTATTTTGAAATGCAAATTAAAAAGGAGTCAAGTTAGGCTAAATGTATAATATAATTACTGGACTAATGTACTTTTTATTGTACTTTTATCAGATAGGGGTGTTGGCCTTCATTAATGGTGGTGAGGAGGGAAAAGCTCTGTACAATGCCTTTGTCACTGGTAGAGTTTGCTATGAAGTTTATAAAAGACTGTCAGTTTCCCAAGCTGACGTCCTAAGGGTAAGTTTTATATATACAAATTATCAACATTTATCTACATGTATGCATGCTTAGGATTTGTCACTTTTCATCTCACCCCAGGGAGCATGAATTTACAGCAGCTTAGTTGAGCTGCATGAATACATACAAAATTAATGTAAATACAGAATTGAAAGAAAAATCATTAATCAAGTTTCCTGGTGTCTCAACTCTCTCACACCAACTTGCAATAAACAGATTTAAGGGCCCATTAACTGATTTATGCGCGCGCTCGCGCGCGTTGCTAAGAAGGTGAAATTCCACTTCCGGTTACTTACGTCAGCGTAAGCGCGGAAAATAAAAATAACTCAATAACTTCCAAATTCGCTCACATTTTAGATGTTTTTCTTTGTGTTTCATAAAATGCAAAGTAAAAAAAGTACAAGTAAAGACAAAATAAGAGAAAGACAGAAAAACAAGAGCAATAGAAGGAGAAAACCAACTCCGTGTGGCTTTGTTTGATCTTACCGAAGTGTGCTGGTAGTGTAAATTGCGCACGCGCTGATAGGGTAACTTCCAATATATATTGGGCGCACTTCCGGTTTCTTTAAATGCTTAAGGAAACGCGGTTTTTCTTTAAATCCAGCCTTTTTTGACGGATTTCGATTAAAGCCAACGTTGGAAACATAGCTATGCATTCATTTTTCAAAATCGGGCTTTTTTCAGAAAATTACGGTTTTTTTAATATTTTGAAATTCTCTCAAAATCTGACCTTTTAGAAATGAAACAAAATCTATGCATAGCGTAATGAGGATTTAAATTAAAATATTAAATCAATGAAAAAAATTCCGATAACGTAATTTGTCTGGGAGCCTTTGCGTTTTTTCAGTATTAGTCACATGACCATGGGCGTGGCATGATGACGTCATCACTAGTGTTGCTGATCATGAAAAAGTTAAAACACATGAAATAACTCTGAAGTAACTAAAAATGACGAGGTTATATGAGAATAAATTTTCCCTAGCAACGGCTCAAAAAGATCGGTAAATGGGCCCTTAAAGTGGAATCCAATTTTTTGAACCCCCAAGGAGAACCAAAATTGGTTAGAAAAACTGAGTGGTTCAAGAAATCAGGGGTTGTCTGACTGAGTGAAGGGAAATGACTTTTAATCTTAGTTAACAGGAGATTATTTTAAAAAATCAAGATGCTGAGAAACTGGGATTCCACTGTAGTTTCTTTTATTTGTGCCATACTCATAGGGAAAACCACTTCCTTAAATGTCTTAAGCAGAATAAGGCAGGCAAATGACAAATAATACACTACTGGTCAAGTGTTCTCCTTCAAGGTTGCAACAGATGAAAATTGCCCCTTGAAAGGTGCTGTATCTAGTCTGGCATCTTTGTTTACAATATTTGCCCCATTAGTATAAGCGATTCAGTTTCTAAACAGGCTACAAAAATGTTAACTGGCCCAATAACTTTCACTCTTTCATTGTTTTGTTGTTTTGCAGGCCGAGACCATAATGCGCATTAGTGAATATGTCAAGAGCCACCCACGTGCAAGTGAAGCACAGTTAAAAGCAGAGGTGGAAAAGGAGATTAAATTGTTTGCACAAAAGATTGCTGAGCTTGAAGCAATCCATTAGGGATTCCAAGTGACATTGAACCAGTTTAATGTAATTGGACCAACTTGCTGTAGATAACTCAGGACTGTTTAACCCTAAGTTAAACAGAACAAGATAATAAGCAAAATATTGTACAACTTTTACAGTCTACAAAAGGAGGTGCTGAATTTATACCAAAATTACATAAAAATAACTGCTTTGTAGAATATGTGAAAACTATAGCAGCTTTTGTGTTACAACCTAGATGACATCAGGTAACTAAAGGTAGAAAATTTGTACTTGTGGCTACTGTGGAACCTCAACTTGACTTGTTAACCGTATTCAGAATGAGCTTTTTTTATCGTCTGCATGTATGACTTGTGGTGAGGAGGGAGGTCTGCATAACTTCAAGAATATTTAAGCAACAATTATGAAACAAACAAGGTATAAAGTACACGTACATCCCAAAAGATAATCACCACGAGATGATGTCATCAAATGGAAATCACCTCATGACATATCTTGGATCCGCTATCATGAATCTCTTGATTTGTTTTCCAAAACTGCCAGAAACCCACCAAACGTGACTCAAAACTAATAGAAATCAACAAAACAATGCCAAAGTGCTAAAGATGTGAAAATAACTGCATGGAAGTTATTTAAAGTGTCAATATATGTAAAAACAAGAAAATTCAAAATTTGAGAAGCATGCCTTATAAATACAGATGTGATTGAAATGTCAAACACAGCAGTATGTCATAATAAATAAAGCTCATACAATTTGTTTCCATAGAGTCATAGAAGCACAGCTTCTAATGCACCCTTTCGGACAGGCTGTTGTGTAATATGTCAAATTATTTGCGCATTTTGAGTGGTTCTTACTTATGATCTATTGGAGGACAGGTGCATAGATGACATCATTTCAGTTCTTGGTTTCTTTATTACATAAGACAAATTATTGGGGCTAAAGAGAGGTGATGGTGTCAGGTGAAGGCAGCCTGATGGGAGGGGAGGAGAGTTCTGATGTAACTTACCAGGGGGTTACTTGAGCATACCGATGAGGAGTTGCAAGAAATGCAAAATTGCTAGACCCTAAAAAAACTCCTAGTAACAAACATCACAACCCAGAAAAGTCCAGTGGCCCTGAAAGTAATACCAAAACCCTTGTACAAAATTAGACATAAATACACAAAACCTCGGCGGTAATTTTCTGTTAAATACCAAATGGAGTTCTTGCAAAAGTCTTTCATTCAAAAAAGGTTGCCACAAAATGTCAAAATATAGAACTTATGGCACTGTGACATTCCAATTTGTAACAGCGCGTGCGCTAGTTCTATCTAATTCCCATTGAGCCATCATGGACGTAATCTCTATGTACGCACGGCCGTACATATACAAGATGACGTATGCAGTTTCAATTTAGCTGCAAAATTTCCGCCGAGTTTAGTGCAAGTTCCTTTGTTTAAGTTTCGACAATGTGAAGGTTATTCTGAACAATCCAAACTCTACTTCGAGCCTTTGACTTTTGCCAAGCTAAGATGTTTACTTAAACATGAGTATTTTGACTTTGTCTACATTTTCATCGAGTATTTTTGACTTTGTCTGCTTACATTTTCATTATAATTATTCGAAGAGGCGAATTTTTCATTGACAATTTTAGAAACCAGGTTAGGCGTTTTCGCGCAACCGTTGCTCAACTGATTGTGACGTGTTGGGATCCTAATGACCTTTGTTTTTCTTCACCGTGCATTGTGAGAACTTTGTAGTCAATCACAGA